AATAATAACAAATTAAATTATTATTATTATTATTATTTATTGTGAAAGCGTTGGTAAAGCGTTTTAAACACGACGAAAATTATTTTAAAATTCCAACATAATTATTTAGAACGACGTGGTCGATAGCTGTGAATTAAAAGCGATTCTCTGATAACGGCTGCAATAATTTAATTGTCATCGGTCGATCAAGAAATCAGGCAGGCAGTGCCATTCTGTCAGTATATACGTCACGTTACACGATAAGTACCGCATTTTTGGCTCACCCATACTTTATAAACACATTGTAGCAATTTGGCTGCTGCAAATTATCGTTTCTAAACATAGTTCGTTCTTTTGTTACGGTGTCACCATAGAAATATATCGCAGCGCGATATATTATATATAGAGTCTGACTAGTACTATTTCTATGGGTTCTAACCGAGTAGTTGTAAGATTTCGCGAAGGAATGCTACCTAGCATAGAATTAGGTAATAATCTCACTGAACCGTGCGCGCGCGCGTGCACGCTATACCTCGCAGGCGAATTAATACATCAACTCACTGCCCCGGTGCTTTTAATAACTCCGCGGTCTTTGTTTGCCGAAATGTTACAACGAGAATACGCGAAAAGAACGTGCGCTTTATGTAATGATGCCGCGCCATCGTGTGTATTACGAAACGCGCGAATTTCACTACACGTGCTCCCTCTCTGGTGCGCGCCACGCCTCCCCGCCACCTCTGAAGCTAGCCCGGATGCTGGGCCACATCTGATGCTCCCACCTCATCACACCGCCATTAAAGTCTGTCATATCGTCCGCTCACAGCTCCTCTGCCTGCGTGCGCCTTCTCTCTGCCATAGAGGTATGTACATCACACCGACGGACTGATTTTAATATGCCTTCCCCTCTGCCGTACATAGAGGTTCGTACACTGACGGACTGATTTTAATATACCTTCCCTTCTGTCGTATATAGAGGTCCGTACACCGACGGACTGATTTTAATATACCTTCCCCTCTGTCGTACATAGAAGTCCGTACACCGACGGACTGATTTTAATATACCTTCCCCCCTCTGCGGTACATAGAAGTCCGTACACCGACGGACTGATTTTAATATACCTTCCCCTCTCTGCGGTACATAGAAGTCCGTACACCG